CAGTAGAATGCACTTTGATACATCATACATAAATGCAGTATAACTTCTCATTCTTCTGGTTATACATGATGTAGAAYCATACCAATTATGCAGATATATATATACACCTAGGGTAATAATGTCTGATTCATTCTATTCTTCCTACCCTCATACACCCTCCCCTCCCTTCACTCCCCTCTTCCTAATCCAAAGTAACTCTATTCTTTCCTAGGTACCCCTCTTATTATGAATGAGCAATCCACATATCAAAGAAAATATTCAGCCTTTGTTTTTTTGGATTGGCTTACTTTTGCTTAGCATGATATTCTCCACCTCCATCCACTTACCAGCAAATGCCATAATTTTGTTCTTTGAGGGGGAGTAAATATTCCATTGTGTATATGTACCACATTGTCTTTATCCATTCATCTGTTGAAAGACACCTAGTTTGGTTCCATGGTTCAGCTATCGTGAGTTGAGCTGCACTAAACATTAATGTGGCTGCATCACTGTAGAACGCTGATTTTAAGTCCTTTAGGTATAAACTGAGGAGTGGGATAGCTGAGTTAAATGGAGGTTCCATTCCAAGTTTTCTGAGGAATCTCCATACTGCTTTCCATAGTGGTTGCACCAATTTGCAGTCCTACCAGCAAGTATGAGTGTGCCTTTCTCCCCACATCCTCCCCAACATTTATTGTTGCTTGTATTCTTGATGATTGTCACTCGGGCTCAAGTGCAATAAAATTTTAGAGTAGTTTTGATTTAGGGTGACTTTTAATAGCACTATTTATCTGAGTGTAACCACRATGACACTGTGATACCTTGGAGAGAGATGATAGAAATGGGCACTTTACATGAGAACCTCTCTAACTTTGTCCCAAGATCTCTTTTACTTCCCCTCTGAAACCCAGCTTCAAAAATCAAAAACAAAACAATAGAACCTTTTCCACCAGATGCTCTGAGTAAGCAATACGAAGTTCATTCCCGCCTCTTTGTTTTGTTTTTTTAAAGAAAGCCTCTATGAGGAGACTTCAGAGCTTTGGCATTAAGGAATYAGTGCTGCTGCCTAGGACTTGTGGATTTCCAGCTGGACGTACTGACGTGGCATGTCGTTAGCATGTGGTCTCCTACTGGGTAAGAGCAGAACACCTTTACACTTTTTCAAGTGTTAAAATGGCCCACTAGCCCCACACCTTCTCATGTGGACCCRGAGAGGCCAGCATCCCTGGCTGGACCCTGCTGTCTAAAGTGGAAGGAGACTACAGAGGAAAATAGTGGGAAAACACAGGGCGTCACGTGTCCACATAGGGAGGAGACAGTCCCTGCTGTTGATCATGCAGAGCACAGGGGCCTCCAGYGGGAAGGCACCGCGTCCTGTGGCATTCCTGCCTCTGCGTGGCCACASGCCTGCCCTAACCACTGGGTCCATTCACACACCTCCCTGAGCGTCCTCTCTTGAGGGTTTCCAACTTCACTTCTTCTCTTCGGCATTCTCGTTTCCTCTATGTTTACTCTCTGCCATCTTGTCCAGCTTCTGGGTGCTATGGCCTCTCCCAAGCATGGACGCTGCTTTCTCCCCATCTCTCCAGCCCTTGAGGGTCTTCCTCTTCAGCCTCTCTATTTTAGAGGTCACTGTCATAGGTCCCCATTCCTCTTGAAAAATATCTATGAATCAACTTCTGTGTTTTACCACAATGGATTAAAAAACCCCACACATTCATAAAGATCTCTGGAGGTCTCACCACTGCTGATTTGCTGCAGGCATATCATGTACCTGTCCAAGAAGGGCCACTGCTCCAAAGTCATAAGGGACAAGGTGCCCTGACCATGAACGGTTCTCATCAGCACTCCACCCCCAGTGCCTCTTACTAGAGCATCAGATTTTTTTAAGGGAAACAAAGAACTATTTTGGAGAGTTTTAATGACTTCACTGTTTAATTCACCACCATTCTTCAGAGAACTGGGCCTTACCTCAATAGCTGCTTGGTGAATATAATGGTGACACTGTCATCTAGAGCATCATTATTTATTTAAAAAATTAATAGTTTTATTAGCAAGTGCTTCCACTGCACCTATCACTCATAATATGGCTTTAGCTTGCTTCAGCATAGTTTACAGATGATGAACCTAGGCTTTTGGTCCAAATTGCCTAGGTTCAAATCCTAGCTCTGTCATTTGTTAGCTGTGTGACCATGGACACGTTATTTAATTTCTCTGTGACTTATCTTTCTCTGTGACTTATCTGTGACTTATCTTCCTCATCTGTAATACGGATAAAATAATAATACCTGTATTGACTGGTTGTTTTGAACAGTAAATGGATAATAAGTGCACCTGGCACTGAGAAAGGATACAGCAAATATTACTGTAGCTATATGAACCTATAGATTGGTAAAAATAGAAAAAAGGATTTTAAAAATTGGAATTTGAATTAGCAAATAGTGAATTTGGAATATGTAGTATTTTCTGGAACTTGAAACATCAGGAAAATAAATTTTTTTTTCCCCCTCACAATCCTTCCATTCCTTTCTCTATCTGGGATAGTAAAAATAGAGTCTATACATTTAGATCTTGGGGGTTGAACCTGTGTACATGGAAAATTTAATAAACAAACATTTCACACAACATTTTGATTAGAGATTTTTAAGAAGCTTCTAAAAGACTGTAAATATCAGGTATCTGCATGATTGTGAACACAGTGTGAAACTGCAGGTACACATGCTTGTGTGTGGACCCGGAGAGGCCACCGTGTGTGTGTGTGTGTGTGTGTGTGTGTGTGTGTGTATTCATGAAATTATTCTACCTCAAAGGCCAAGATCACTGAGAATAAGGCAAACCAGAGACATAAAAATGGCGCAACTGTCAACACCAATGAAAATACAAAAATTTCTTATGCAAAATGGAAGACATATTTAAAATCATATTTAAAATAATAATAGCTCCAAGTATGAAATTCAGTGATTTTTGGGTATGAGATCAGTAGAAGAATTTAATAGATTTGTAGTCTCAATCCAGTCAGGAATAAAGAGCAATGTGAAAAGTACTCGTGAAATGGAATTGCTGCTTTATGGTTAGAGTTTTCAGTGCCCAAATATTTTTCCTTATTCAAAGAAAACACTCCAAAATGTGGGCTAGCACAATTGGATAACCAGTTCTGACATACAGAATTTTCAGAAGCACAGACTCCACTAATACAGAGCAAATGTCTAAATAAAAGCCATTTCTATAACTAATGATATATATATAGTAAAATTGAAGAGCCACACGTTTATTTAACTTCATAGTTGAGGAAGAAATTCAGATGCCAATTATGGTCCTGAGTTTTTGTTAATTTTTCCCATGGTGTCAGATAAAAATAAAATGAAATGCCTAAAGTAACGGTTGGATATATAAATGCCAAAAACAAAAAGTAAAAAATTTAAAGAGGCTATGCATATATGGGTACAAAAATAACTTAAAATACCGAAAAAAACAACAGTGCAAAATACTCTGAGATTTGATTTCATAAATTAAAAAAAAAACTGCTACATAAAATTTTATTTTACGGCTTTCTAGCAGAAATCCTATTTTAATGTGGGCTGGAATCATGTAGCATTTTACTCAGCCAATGGTTATTTAGTATCACATTCAATCTGGCAGTTACAGCAGTTAGAAAAAACAGAATATTTTCATTTTATGTATAGAATACACATTTTAATGTATTATATCAGGGACATTCAAATTTTCTGCATAATAAACATGGCAGATAGGAAAATCCATATCTAATACCAGATTTGAAAAGCATGGTCTGAAGTATTTCTACAGCTGCAGATTTTTATTGGTCATGTAAAATTATATGGTTGATGAATTTCAATTTTGTACTGACACATTGCATATTTTTCCACAACTAGAATCCACATAAAACTTTTGTGTCAATGGCATGCAAGAGCTTCCCAATCATATTTGAAGAACCCATCACTGCCGCCACAAAGAGAAAAGATCTGGAGAAGTCATCTATGAGTGTCTTCTGCATAGCTCCAGGACAGGGAAGAACTTAGGACCTTGTTCAGTATGCTCATGGTGGGAATCTTCCTATCAAATTCTTATTCCTTATTGATACCCTTGGTTAAAAGCAGTGGGTTTGGAGGTAAGAGTAATACAATAAAATGCCTAAAGTGACCATTAGATACATTTCCAAAAAAGCTTACTTTTTTTCCCCTGCTGTGTTAAAAATAGACAACTTCTGAAAATTCTGAATGTACAGGGCCTTCATATAATTCCAACAGGATTGTTTTAGAGCTGTGTTTTTGCTGTTAACATCTCAACTATTCTTGCGTGTTGGTGACCCAAGAAAGTCTTCTGAGAGCCCACTCTCTCACCAGCTAACCACTAAGACCCCTATGCTCCATGCAACAGAAACTGTGGTGATAGCTGGCCACCCTACCATCTTTCTGCCATTGTAACATAACTCCCACACATTCCCATATCCATTTATAGGGTACAACTCTCACTGCCATGACACACAGTCTGTTTTCATACACAAGTGAGCACATATCTGATCATTTATTCTTTTCAATTTCTTCCAATCCCTATGGGCTTGTAGAGCAAATTCTCTTTCAGTGCCTAGAGGTCAGATAAATTGATGTTTCATATTTTATGATGGAATGATGATCAAAAGTATTACATAGAGTTAGGAGAACTGGCAACCTGGCCCTGTGGCATTTGATTTCCAGACAACCTTCATTCAATGACAGAGGGAGAATGGTCTTCAAATCCAACTTATTAAACTAGACCTATCTTATTTTTTTTAACTCAAAAGTAATAATCTAAAATTATTCCTAAGATATTTATAAAGTCATAGAAATCTCCCATGTTGTTATTAAAGTTAAACTTAAAAAGGACATTTTTCCAACTCAGACTGTCTTCACTTATTAAATTCTAATATTTTTTGCTTTGAAGCTCAAACTTTTAATATCACTGCAAGTACACATTTTGCCTTTATTTTTCAAATGCAGATTTTAAAGTCCCCCTCCATTACTTACTTGTTTAAGCTTCTTTAGATCTTCATCAAGTTCTAAGTTGTCCAAAATAACAGCAACAAACAAACTCAGGAGGATCTATAAAATGGTTAAATAACAATGAAAAAACCCACTTGCCAAAAGTAACAAAATATTATATAATATAGAATATCTACCTAAAATACATCATATATAGAATTCATTCAGTGAAAAATAAGCATGCAGTTGAGAATCATTGCATAGGTATTTTAAGGCATTTGTCACAAAGACATAAAAGGAAATGCATATGTTAGCTGAAATAAACAATATAAAACATTGAACTTTTTAATGAAGACAATTTTAAAAGAATTAGAAATCTTTTCTCATTCAATAGTCACACCTCTGGGACTCTATGCAGAGAAAGTAATTTTAAGTACGGTGGAAAGCTTGATCRGCAAAGGTGTATATAGGAGAGTTGTTTGTAATAATGAAGTGCTGGAAATAACACCCAGCCTTGTATCCATCGCTAGGAGAGTCCCAAGGATCTATAAAATTCACCTCGTGTAGATAATCCCACTGCAGCAGCTCATCTCCAAGATGGGCACCCGCAGCCCTTCCCAGCCTCTGCTCTTGTCGCCCTTGTGTGGTCCCCTCCTACACTGCACAACCAGGAGGGTGTGGAGAAGATAGCATGCAATGTGTGAGGTGAAGCACGAAAGCCACTGTGTCTTCACCGGGCTCTCTCTTGGATCACCATTCTGGTGGAAGCCAGGTGCCATGTTGTGAGGACCCTCCAGCAGCCCTATGAAGAGACCACGGGGTGATAAACTGAGGCTCCTAGCAATATCCAGCAAGGAACTGAGACCTCTCCAATAGACTGGAAGGTGACCCATCTTGGAAGTAGATGCTCCAGCCCCAGGAAAGCCTTCAAGGTGACTGCAGCCCCATCCAACTATGACCTCATGCGACCAGGAACTCCAGACACCAAGCTAAGCCTGTCCCAGGTGGCAGAAACTGAGGGAATAAAGGTTTATTTGCTAAGAAGCTTCTAAGATACAGGGGATTTGTTTCAAAGCAATAGATAACTAATGGAACTTCTAAATTTTTACAATGTTGGAAAACACATTACAATGTTAAATTAAGAGTATATATGGCGGAAATTCAACTATGTATAAAAAGGAATAACAGACACAATACTGGAAGGCAGTTACTCTATAAATGCAAATAGCACGTACTTTTGTGTAGTGAATAAAATTTCCCCCCTTTTTTTGTATTTCATGAAATTTCCCTCTCCTAACAAATGACTCTCATTTATTAGTAGTAGACAGTTGAGCATGTAGGCAAGAAAGTTGAGGCAATATCTTGACTTCAAAGTATCAGAGATGATTAGGCAGAAGTGAATGATGAGCTCTTCTCTGAGTTTAGTGGAGTGTACAACCAGGGGAAAAGGCCCTAAGCATCATAAATTGTGGCAGACTATGCTTGGCTGGGGAAAAGTGCCAGCATTCTTCTTCTTAATAGCCATGTCCTTTGGGATCCTTCCAAAATGTGAAGAAGAACCAGAATGGTCATCGGTGGCTTCTTCTGTCACCAGGTCTGCCACACCACTGGCTTATTCTGAAGCAGGCTTTATTCTAAACTGGATATTCACACTTCACTCCAAGTTTTGCCTCTTTCCCACAATCTCAGTGATAAAAATCAAGTCAGAGGTGGAACCCACTTTTCCCTGCATCCTCACCCCCATTTCTGAGGTGCCCACTTGCAGTCTCCCCACATAGAGGCTATTTTATATCACCTGCTTCTGCCACCCTCTGACCTTTGAGCAGGGCCTGGATTGCTCTGTGTCCTAATTTAACTGGGTTTCTCTCTCTCTCTCTCCAGGAAAAGTGCAAACACACTTCAAAAAGAAAAACGAAAATGCTAAATAGGGGAAAAAAGGAAGACTGTTTCTCTTCCTTTAGAAAAGTTTTAATTGTGCATTTTTTCCCTTTGAGATGTATGTGAATTTTCCTAAAATCTAAATGAGCCACTCACTGGATTGTAATCCAGGAATGGTTTTCTTAAGGACTGGGGCTCTCTCTTTGACAGATGAATAAAATCAGGAGGGATAGTGCCCCAAGTCCCTTTCTCGTGGGAGGGTTGGAGTGGAACCCAGGCACCTGGTGGCCAAGCTGTAACACTACCTACTTGTCACTGATTTTCCCTTGGTGTAGGCAGTCAACTCCCACAGATGGCCACTGCAGTCACCAGGTAAATTAGGATGAATTATATTTAACACATGGTACTGTCGAATTTTCTTACTTGAGGAYTAGCTATTTTTACCTCAAGAACACGCATGTAATTTGGCGGTACAAAAGGGTGGCATTTCTTCCAACCTTGTCACCTCCAGCAGGTGGCTGGTTATGCCCATTGCCATCTGGCTTGATGCTTATTCAATATGAAATTTTCTTCCTTTTCTACTCTTATGGAGAGGTTTTCTGGGTTGGCAGGAGATTTTGCTTTTAATTATTTCCCCAACACTGGACAGATGCTGGGCTACTAAAGGACAGTGAGGTTATGTCATCCGATTAACAACAAACGTACTCTGATGGATTCCGTGCCTGTGTTGGGCCCTTTCYGGTCAGGAACACAAAGCGACACTGCACCCTCGGCTGTGGAGTTCATAATTAAATTGAGGGGACACACTCAGCAGCCTAGTGAGGAGGGCACTGAGGCTGGGGTCAGAGACCTTGGTTAACAAACAGTTACCAGCTGCATGACAATAACTAGCCAATGAAGAGTTCCRATGCCCTCATTTATAAAATATTATGGATGTGATAATAATAGCTCAACCAAYTGTAGCTATCATTTTTCATTAAATCCTCTTTAAAAAACCTGATGGGTAGGATAATCTTCATAAAAGAGACATCGATTTTTGTAKGTGAAAATGATTTTCTTGATTATGCTATACTTGTTTAATTTAGTTTATTCCTCCATTTCTTATGATGACTGAAGGTATAATATTGCTATATGAATTCAACTTAGTTTTCTAGATCTCAATAACAGTTCAAACAATGTTCCTGTTCCTTTTCTTCAGGGGTGATCCARWCAAGGATGTTCACATCTTAGGGCAYCTGGTCCACTCTGAGCTGAGTCCCCACCCACGGGATGAGGATGAGGATGCTTGTTTCCAGGGCTCTAGGCTTCCATCTGCCAGAGTGGCCACCACCTCAGTTCTGGAARGCTCAGCAATATCCCCAGCAATATTTCATGTGAGTTTCTCAGAGCTACTGAAATKAAATGTATACRCTTGGTGGCTTAAAWTAAGACATTTATTCTATCGTAGTTCCGGAGGGTGGAAGTCCCAAATCAAGGTGTGCACAGGATCTACACTCCCTCCAGAGACTCCAGGGGAGAATCCTTTCTTGCCACTCTCAGCTGCTGGTGGCCCCAGGCATTCCCTGGCTTGTCACTAGTTAACCAGTCTCTGAATCCATCTTCACAAAGCCTTCTTTTCTTCCTTCCTGTGTCTTGTCTTGGATCTCTTCCAAGAACTGTTTTCATGTGGAAATGAAGTATCCCCTGAAAAGATCTTATTTGGTAACATCATCTCCAATGTATCAATGTTCAGAGAGGAAATGATCATGGCAGCTATAACCTTGCCAGCTGACTAATTCATTTAATTGATTAATAATTTGATGGACTACTGGGTGGTAACTCTAGGCAGGTGGGGTGTGGTTGGAGAAAGTATGTCACTGGGGGCAGGTACATGGCTGATATCTGTTCCTGGCCCCTTTCCCTCTCCATCTCTGCTTCCCAGCGGCCATGGGTGGAATTTTCCAACATGCCTTTCCACCATGATGGTCTCCCTCACCCGARGCCCAGAGCAATGGAGTCAGCTGAACATGGATTGAACCTCTGAAATCATGAGCCCAAATAAATACTTCCTCCTCTATGGGGTTTTTGACAGGTCTTTTGTTCACAGCAAAGAAATACTAGCACAAGAACATTTTTTCATTGGCTTCAGAACCCATCCAGATAATCTGGGATGATCTCATCCCAAGATCCTTAATTTAATTACAACTGCAAAAGCCTGTTTTCCAGTAAGACCACACTCACAGGTTCCAGAGGTTATGGCACAGACAGGTCTTTTGAGTTGCCCATTCAACTCACTCTGCTCTCTGTGGTCTTTGCCTTGGGCTTTTGTTTCAACATAAGCTATACCAGCCCTCCATGCTCMGAAAAGTTTGGAGGTTTTGCCGTTAAACATGGAACTAAGGGAGACTTGCTTTTCAGAGAGCTTTCTGAACCTCTCTCTATCCAGACTCCTCATGTAGCTACCCAACTCTGCCAGGTTGTTCCTGGTCCTGTTTCCCCTGAAAGTCCAGACAAGAAGTGGGCTCAGGTCTTGGCCGTTGGAACCCGCCTAGCTGGAAGTCTATACTGCTATTGCTCCTGGGTATAGGGCACCACCCTTGATCATACCCCCTTTATACCCCATTCGGGAAAACATTCCTATTTCCTCTCAAAATGCTGACATCTGAAGGAAAACTTGAGCAGAGGCRGGGAGGGAAAGGAAGCCTATTCAAGTTATCACAAACTAAGTTCTGTATGCTCTGAGCATTTAGATTTCTGAGTGCCCTGGGGGTGCATGGGACATCTTATTTAAGAATGTGAAACACGGATAGACACCAAGGTTGCACTATAAAGGAATCGATGTACCCAGGAGAAGACTGTGATAAAAGCAGGGAGCTGGAGAGCATGTGGCTGGCTCACTCCAGCTCCCAGGGAAGATGTTGGGCAAGCTGAGGGGCGGGTCAGGGCAGCAGTTCCCTGAGCACCACAGACAGAGGTCGGGAAACACGAGAGGGTGGTTATGATAGTCGAATACGATGCATTCAGTTTCTCCTCTGTTAAGTGTTTCCTTTGACAAATTCTGTTTTTTTTTTTTTTTTTTCTGTTAATGCCCTTTCAACCTGGCTCTTTGAAATTGTAACTAAACAGTGTGAAATACAGTTTGACAAAAAGTGATTAGATGCAGAATACTTCTTTTCTGTTCTAAAAATTAATTCTTCTCYGAGCAAAGAGAAAAAAGCCACCCTCAGGTCACCGCAGAGCAGAGGCAGACTTGGGATGGTCAC